CATTAGCAGTCATTTCCCATGGCCACTCAGCACCTCTGTTTGTATCTCCTAGCAGGCACACAGTTATGTTTTGTCTCTCTTGCTTTGACTTTTCTAAAATTTTATATGAATGGAATCGTGCATCCTATCACCTTCTGTGCCTGGCTTATTTCATGTAGTACAAGTTTACAAGTTCCACTGCCACTGAAGCATGTTGTTCTTCAGAAAGGTCTCATGTGAGAACCAGCAAGAGGAGTAGCTCATCTGAAAGAATTTATATAACAGGCCTACGAGAGGAGGAGTTTGTCATGCATAGTGGGATATATAGGCAAGTGAAAAAAAAAAAGACTAGGGAGCAAAGGAGTCCTTTTGCAGAGCTAAACCCAGGAATGTTAAGGAGCACTGAGTTTGGAGGAATGCCTCAGGGCAGGGATAAGTAATATTGTCAGGTGGTAGAGAATATCTTTTGGATAATATCTGCCACATGCAAAATGTCTGGCACATGCAAAATATCTTGCATATGTTTTGAAATCTAACTGACAGGAGGAAAGGCAATCTGTCTATATGCAAGATCAGGCTTTTAAGAAAATGCATGATATGTCCTACCTTAGGGTTATAAGGATAAGTCTGGTAAGATTATTTACCATAGAGGTGTGGAGAAAAAGAAGAGGCAATAAATTGTAAAAGTGCAAAAGTCAAGCAATGAAGGTTTTGGTGAGAAATCACGCATGGGAGAACACTGCAATCAGAAACCATGAGCATGACATTAATGGCCGCTGTCTATGCAGTGGACATTAGTGACTTCCCTGTGAGGCCATCTGCATGGTCTTGTTCCAGTTAGAAAATTTAGGGGCATCACTCACACTTCACACCCTGTTCATCAGCAAGTCCTGTCAGTTCTTCCTTCAAATACATCCAGGCTCCACTCACAGGTCTGTAAAATGCAAGGCATAGATCACTGGGGCTGCTGCCCTTGGAAGAGTTTAATATAGAGCTAATGAGATTCTAGTTAGTCCCCAAAGAATGAGTTGCTTTAAAAGAGTAGGCCTGTCCTTGACTCTCCCTCCACATACACACATTTGTCTTGTCAACTACCCATAGAGCTCCTTGAGAGGAGGGACCAGTATTGAAGTCAGCTGTGTGTCCACCATGCCATTTTTTAAATGCTTGAAAAATGAATAAATAAATGGGCGATGGCTGGGTAATCAGATCTGAAGATGTGATGCAAGGCTGGACTTTGGCAGCAATTTTGCAGTACTAATTTAAGCATTGCAGAAGGGAGTTGTTGAAATTTGAGATTTCCTCCAAACTTGACAGTCTAGAAATCTGAGATACTATCCCAGGGAAGGTAAAACATGTGTTCTAATCTCCCAGCTCAGTATCTCTGGGACTATGAGATGCTGTAAAATTTTTCAAGTTGTACTGTGGACCCCAGGCCAAAGTTTCACTGTACCTTAAGTCATCCTCCTGCTGGTGATTATTTTTTTATTTTGAAAATTTTTTGCTAGTGCCTATTTTGAGAGGCTCACAGTGTATTGTGATACGAGTCATACAAGGAGAAAATCCTTATATAAGAAGTTGTTGGACTAGTTTGTGGCAAACTGTAACCTAAGTGTAGAGGCCAGACTGTTCAAATAAAAGTTTCATTGAACTCTGTAGGGGCAACTGTTCAGATTAAAGAGAACAAACTCTGGAAGGGTGGAGCATGAGAGTCCAAAGGGAAAGCCTAGGAGAGCTTTATAAGAAGAATAACTTTTCTATTATTTTAGATTGTACAAATAGGCTGGCTGGGTGAGATTCACAGAAACATCTTCTGTTCTTGGGGAGGACAAGTCCCTCCTTTTATACCAGCACAGAGACTTCCTTGGCTCCCAAGCTGTTGTCCTTCCATGATGTGGCTCTATGGTCTGTTTTTGGCATCTCTTGCTACTTGTATGTGTCGGGGTAAGTATTTTGGAAAGAAAAAACATCTAGGGACAGGGGATACTTTCAGGAATCCAAGTTTTGAGCAGATGTGGGTGGAGATGCTACAGGGAAAGGGCACAACAGTACATTCCTGAGGGGCACTCACTCTGGAGATAGACTTGTAGCACTCATACCACAGATTTTGGTGTGGACACACTGAGACACAGTGGGTGGTGGCTTAGGGGTAACACTCTGAGCTTCAAGAGCCCGCAACCAGTGCAGAAGTGCAATGAACTAACCTCATGACTCATATCTGACAATTAAGAGAGCTCAATTTTCATTCTTACTCCAGATCTGGCTATATCATTTAAAGAGTAATTTCATGAGTTGTGCGTCCTTAAGTGAGATATCTAACTTTGTTGTGCCTAAGTCACTCATCTTTAGAGTAAGGATGTCAGTAGAATCTACCTCATGTGGATGAAGGGGATTGTTGATTCTAAAGAACTTTGGATGGAAAGGGAGAATGGAGTTGAATTAAAATCGAGTATATTCACAGAAAATCTGAAGCACAGTCAGACCAACACATCAGGTCCCTGTAAAGTTAGTTCGTAACTTACAGCTACCATAGGAAGGAAACTGTCAATGTGGTGGAGGGGTGTGACATAAGGAGAAGCATCCAGGTCAGTCAGAAGGGATGAGAGCAGGAGGCTCCTGCAGGCCAGGGTCTTTATCCAGGTTTCATCTGGAGGAAAGAGGTGAAGCAGGGTTAGCAGGTATAGGATTAGCTAGTTTGAGTGCCTTTAGAAAACTTTGAGGCAAATGGGCTGCCCTTGATTTCTGGTACCTGGAACTGTCTGATTAGGGCAATTAGTTGGTGGCCCAAGATATGAAACTATATTATAGGAGGAAGTTGGGAGGGGTTCTGATTGGTTATATAAGGCCTTACATGTGAGAGCATTGGAATAGAAATTAAGTTTTTGGTTAATACAGATCTATAATAAAGGCTTTCAACATACATTTGTGCTATTTGGTAGGTGAAGAAAGTGAGACTCAAACGAACATGTACCCTCCCAAGGGTATGTGGAAAATCATGTCCTGGTCTCACTGGGTCCTGAATCCAAATAATTCTCAAGTATAAGTGTCCTGAGATCAATAGCATCAATTGTGTTTTATCTTCCTTCTGGGTATATAAGACTTTAAGAGAAATGGAATGAGTGAAAGGCAGAGAAAGGACCTAAACTTGGAATGGAACTATTCTTTACTGCCGGTCACCCTGGTGACCATTCATACAGACGATGCCTAGCAATTTGTGCTTAGACTTTACCCTCCTTAACCTCTTTGAAGCATTCTGCACTCCACTCAGCCCCTCCTCCTCTCTCTTGGTGCCAAGGCACTGTGCCCTTCTCCTGCCACCATGCTGGTGGGTGAGCTCAGTCTCAGCTGCAGCTGTCTCTACTTTATTCTCAGCTCATTCTCTTCTCTCACCTGTGTCTGCAGTGAGGTCACATGCACACCCATGCTGCACACCTTCACCTTCAGATGGATACCTCTACCATCTTTCACCACTTCCTGATAGTTTCATGATGGCTTCATCCTATGGCATCTTCTTAGCAGGATCCTCACTGAGTCTGTCCAGAAAACCACGTAGCATATGGAGCCAGCATCATACACCTGCTCTTTCTTCTCTTTTCTTTAAGAGATCCACATCTGGGCAGGGACCAAATACTCCATAATTCTTCATGTACATCTTCCTTTTTCTTCAAAACATTTTTCTCCTAATTACTAAAAGGGATCTATGTGTGGTGCAGAAACATTGGGAAGCTAAAGTAATAAAGAACTCCACAATGCCACTACCCATGGACATCTCGATATACTTACTTCCCAGGAAGTACATCTTGCTGTGATGAAAAAAAATAACAAACAAACAAAACAAAAAAAAAAAAAACAAAAACCCTGCCCCTAAGAAAAAGGCCCAAAGTTCCCCCCCCCGTAGAAAGACTTGCTCAGGACACCAGAGCAAGATTATAGAAGTTTATTGTGTCCTTTACTGTAGAACTGTTCCTGTTGCTCATTTGTCCTCTAGATAAAATTGGATTCCTTAGCCTATCTTTCAAGGCCATCCCTGACACACCTGCTCATTCCAGGATTATCTTCCATTCCTCATAGACTCCATCTGGTGGTATTCATAAGCTGCTTACTCCTTCCAAGCCAGATCCGGTATGTTACCTTCTCTGAGCCTCTGCATATTCTCTCCTCTGCCTTTTATACATTCCCATGCTGTGTTGTGTTATTCACTAGTCCTTGGCAGTAAATCCCAGATCCTCTGTACCAATGAATTACTCACTCCTTATTCGAATGCCTAGACGCCTTTCTGATTGCTCTACGAGGACACAGTCTCTTTTCTCCCTGTGTTAAATCTACTCTGTGGCTCCTTCTCCCCTCAAGGTTGGCTTTCTTGAAAGCAGAGACCCCTTCTTATGCTTCCTTTCACCCATCATGCAGAGCAGCACCAGGATCCTAATGGATATGTGCTTCCAAGGCAAGGGTTGAATGTTGTGTTCATTCCCAGTGGCTCTCCTTTGTGTAGAGGCTTTTGTCTGGGTGCTTGCCTATTGTCTGTTCTAATTTTCTCCACTGTTCATCCCTTTAAGTTAGAAAGAACAGTTTTCCTCCTCTTTATTTTCCTTAGAAGAAATTGATCTTAGTTGGTTTAATGGAAACATTCCTAGTAGTTTTAAGTGACTTATTCAAGCTCAAATGCCTAGGAAGTGGCAAAATCCACCTAGAATCAATGTCTAACCTCACCCTTTTGATGTGGCCTCTTTTTTCTTCACGTCCAGCAGCTCACTCATC